CCATCATTTAATAATTCCTTCACATCAGTTTATTATGTTTTCTTTAATTCCAGTTAGGCAATTAGAAAATTACACAGTTCTGTTAATGAAAAGCTTTTCTCTTTTTATTTTCTTTCATATTCGTTTATGTATGATCAACTTGCACTCTTTTTTTTAAGGTCCAAATCCTAAATTGCTGTTTTCCTTCCACTGCATTTAGCTTTCCTGATATACCTAGAGAGACCACCAAATCCTGTTTGGTTCTCCCCTTGTTGCCAGGCTTTTAACTTTCTCATAAATAATTCTTTACCCCCTCAGTCTCCTCGACGCCCTTTCCTGCATCTTCTACAAGGGCAGCTCCAGGTGGGCTTTCTTGAAAAGACGAAAGAAAAGATTTGTATGCTCCCCATCACTGCTGATCCTACCTGCTAATGCATTTTGGGGCCATATTTGAATGGGGCAGGGGATGTTAATGGGATCTTTGTGACACTGTCATCTTCATGAACCACTCTCCCAACCAAGAGGCTTCCAATTAGGAACAGAAATGTGTGTGTGTTTTTAGTTCTGCTCTTCCAGTCAGGAGCAGAAATGTGTGTTTCAGCCTGTAAATTCATGACCTGGCATTGTGCACTATTGAATTCCATCACATCTCTCTCGGCTGGGTCAATAAGATTTTGCTGTATTCCACACATGCCTTTCCCTCCGTTGCCAATGGCACCTTATTTTATGTTGTCAGTTAGTTTCCCATTTTGTTTGTATGCACAGTGGTCATTTATGCTCCTGTTAACAGTGATCAATCCCAGGAATCTCTCTTGGGGAATTTCTTTTAGTAACCTCACCCATCTGTTTTCAGCAGAATGTATTGCTGCCTTCATTTGACCAAGCATCTGTGCATCTGTGGCACTGCTTAAATCCTCTGTTTAAGGTCATCAGCAAGGTGTGCTAGTACAGAATGCCCAATTAATTCAGGTATATGCTTCCCATCTCTCAAGCAAGACCAGGAATCTCTGCATATGTTTGAATTGCCAAAAAAAATCCCTCTCATCATTATCCTGGACACATCTATTTTTCATTATTGCATTCAGAGGCTCGTTGGTGATTGCTGAAGGAGCAAGATGCAGGATGTCTGTTGAGCAAGTAACTTTGTGTGACTACTGCCTGTTCTACAGCATACTCACTCATTTGTTTCAACTAAAATATTGCAAAGCAGAATTCTGCCACTAATTAGAGAACTGCAGTAATGGTTTTTATATATTGTCCACAATATACAGGGGGGTTTTTTTCTGCACGGAGATTCAACTCTGTGTTTCTTTTAGTGCCCCCTTGGCTGCCCTGCAGACCTGGGACTGGGTTTTGCCTGATCTCTTTTTCTGTGAGACATCTAAACACCTCCCTTTATAGGAGAGCAAGGGAAATAACCTAATAACAGGAGAAAATTAGCATTTTGATATTTTTACATTGCAAAGGAAAAGCCAATATTCTGACTAAGGGCTGACTAAATCTCTAGATAAGATTATTGAGAAATGTGGAAAATGGTGAAAGTTTAAGGGGGCTGAGTGAGCTATTATGAAAAGAAAGAAATTACAGAAATGTGACTCTTTCTTTCAACATATTTTTAGGAAGCTATAATAGTATAAGGAACAGGCAGAAAGGGGTTCATCAGTAGCCATCTCCTGGGGTGTACTTTACCAAAAAAAATCTCTAATGAGAGACACTAAACAAATATGATGAGACATGGCAGTTTTTTGCCTTTGGAACACAGGGAGCACTATCTCACTATGAAAATTAAACAGAGATCAAAGAAGGTAAGGCTCCTTTCAACTATTTTCATAGTTTTTAAATTAAAATATCGCTTTCCCTATAAATTCTATTGAACTTGTCCTTTAGCTCCAGTGAGCACTTTATTTTGGCTGTAACACAGATCCCTTTTTGTCTGGGACTTGGCTCAGAAACTTTCTTTAGAGTGTCAAAGTATTCTGAAGAACATTTCAAATTTACCTAAGTAAAGAAAACCAGAACTACAGTGGCAACTGTAGTGATACAGAGAATTTGTCTCACTGGTGTTTCAAGCAGAGCAAAAATCTGCTATTGCCTACGACTTGTTGCTCCTCTGAAATATCCAGGGATAGCTATATCTTCTTTAGGCCCCTTTTCCCTAGGAATAAGGACAATTCTTCCCTGCTCTGGCCCCACACCCTTCCCTGTGTGCCCAGTAAGCCACACACTGCTCCAGCGTGGTTGGCACTTTGTCACCTGCAGATGGGTTTTCACATTAAGCTCCATTAAAGCACATTCTGTTTCAGCTGAGTTCATCTTATCTGGTCCCTGATAGGCTACAGTGCAATGAGAATGTCATGTATCATTGAATAGCACACTTGTCAAAAGCCTGGTGTGGACATGGCTGTGTAACTTTACTAACCACACTGATAACTTCCTCACAAAAACAGGAATCCTGTTTGCCTGGCAGGCCACTTCCCATAAAAACACTCTGTCCATACACTGGATTTTTGTCTCTCTTGTTTCTCTCAGGTTGGTTAATGTCAGCCTGATCAGCCTGTCACTAACTGCTCACCGTAATTAGCTTTTCTGGACCTTATCAGGAAACTGAACACTATATCTCTCCAGATTTTCCTGTTATGCCAAGATTTACTTCAAGTGTTAGACAGATAGTCATTCTCTCTCTCTTCTGTCCATTCTTTTGGTATTTTATTGGTACATATATGCCATTTTTCTGGGTCTGCTGGTTTTCATATGTTCTTAGAAGATGCTTCTTCTTTTGTGAGTCCATAATCTGGCAAATATGTCCTCCCTTTCTTTCCAAATACAACCCTGAAGTATTTATTTTAAAATGTATATATTTTTTTTAGTCTTCTCTTCTAGTAATACTCCTTACACATCTGAAATGCTTTGTTGCCCATAGCCCCTCCAGGCATGGATTTTCTCCTTAGGGCTTTTGCTTCCCTGATGAAATCTCAACACCTTCTAATTACTGTTGATTGCCATCTACTTCTGCAGTTCAATATTAGTTCTACACAGTAATTTTTTTTTCTTCTCATTTGCTGACTTTGCTTATTCAAGAATGGGCTCTCAACAAAAATTTTCCTATTGCTTAACGGTGGACTTCTTGGTAAATTACCATATTTCCCTGCAAACTTCTCTATTTTATTCCCCCATTCACATTTTCCTCCCAAATGCGAGGAGGAAAATGTGAATAGAGGAATAAAACAGAGAAGTTTACAGGGAAATATGGTATTTTTTTCAGCTTTAGGGAATTGACTTTTTGGAAGCAGCACGTGTGTGTGTATACAGCATGGTTAAGGGTTGTTTGTTTGGATCATGGGCAGCTATGAACTGGAAAGAGGCGAATATTGACACGAGTGAGACACTGAGGCACTCATTGAGTAAAAAAAGTAAAAAGTGAATGATATTCCAGCAGCAGGTTTTACCAACAGGGGCTACAAAAGCCACTACCTATAAATCACGTAAGACTTTCTTTTGTCACTGAATACAGCCATAGAAAAGCGGAATTTTGGCCATCATTTGCACTACTATAGGCAGACACAGAGCCCAGCTGGGTTTTGATCCTTTTGAAATGTGTCAGTCATGGCCAAAATTCTTTCGGGGTGTTTGATACACTGAAAATCCCCAAAATTTCGCCGAGCCAAAATTAACCACATGTGCCTCCAGAGAGCAGCTCCATCATTCTTTGAGGCTTTCTGGGCTTTCTGCAGCCACATCTGATTTCGGTAAACTCGTCCGTCCTTCCCATTCCGGAAAGTACGGCCGGAAACGAATGCGGCGAGTACTTAAAACCCCTGTACAAGCAACCGTGCCACCGCTACACTGTAACCCTGACACACGCGAGCTTGTTATGGTCTCCGGCAGCAGTCGGGAAAAGGGGGAAGCCAGAGAACGCTGGATTTGTATCGGGCGCTCGGGGGTGCCGGGCTGCGCTCCCGGGCCGCGCCCGGATCCCGCACCGCTGCCCCGCTCCCGCATCACCGCCAGGTGGCGCCGCCGCGCCGCGCCCGCCGCCAGCGCTTCCCCTCCGCCGGGAGCGCTTTGGGGGAGCCCCCTGTGCCAGGAGCCCTTTGGGGGAGCCCCCTGTGCCAGGAGCCCTCTGACAGGAGCCCTCTTTGCCAGGAGCCCTCTGACAGGAGCCCCCTTTGCCAGGAGTTCTTCTGAAGGATCCCCCTCCGCCGGGAGCCCTTTGGGGGAGCCCCCTTTGCCAGGAGCCCTCTCTGACAGGAGCCCCCTTTGCCAGGAGTTCTTCTGAAGGATCCCCCTCCGCCGGGAGCCCTTTGGGGGAGCCCCCTTTGCCAGGAGCCCTCTGACAGGAGCCCCCTACGCCGGGAGCCCTTTGGAGGAGCCCCCTGTGCCAGGAGCCCCCTACGCCGGGAACCCCTCTGACAGGAGCCCCTTCCGCCTGGAAACCCTTTTCCAGGAGCCCCTCTGGCAGGAGCCCCCTCCGCTGGGAAACTTTTGCCAGGAGCCCCCTCCGCCGGGAACCCTTTTCCAGGAGCCCCTTCTGGCAAGAGCCCCCTTTGCCAAGAGCCCCCACCGCCGGGAGCCCCTCCTGCAGGAGCCTTCTTTGACCAGGAGCTCACTCCGCCGGGAGCTCCTCTGGAGCAGCTCCCTCCGCCGGGAAACCCTCTGGAGGAGCTCCTCTGGCAGCAGCCCCCTCCGCCGGGAAACCCTTTGCCAGGAGCCCCCTTTGCCAGGAGCTTACGCCGCTGGGACCCCGTCTGACAGGGGCTTACTCCGCCGGGAACCCTCGGGCAGGAGCCCCTCGGGCAGGAGCCCGTCTGGCGAGAGCCGTCTCCGCCGGGAGTCCCTCGGCGGGGCCGGGCAGCGCAGCCCCTCTGCCCGGCGCCCCCACGGCCGGCAGCCTCCTGCAGGATCCCCTCCGCTCCGCCGGCCACGGGGCCGGGCCGGGCCGGGGCGTCACCGGGAGCTGCGGCGCTCGCCGTGTGCGCGTCTGGAGCTCCCCCCGCGCCGCGCCGCCCCCTCCGCGCCGCGCCGTGCCGTGCCGTGCCGTGCCCGGCCGCGCTGCCAGCAGCGGGGGAGGCAGCGTGCGGGCAGGGCCGGGGAACGGAGCGAGGGAGGAGGAAGAGGGGACGGCAGAGGCGAGGCCGGCCCGAGGAAATCCAGCGGCCCCGACATGAATTAGGCTGCCAGGGCAGGGAGGGCCCCCTCCCCCGCTGGCGGGTCCGCTCGGCGCCGGGGGAGCAGCGCCGCCCGCTCGGAGCAGCGCACGCACACACGGAGCGGAGCGGGGCCGGCAGGGAGGGCGGGAGGGCGGGGGGCCGGCAGATGAGGATGGCAATGTCTGTGATCCAAGCGTGCCGCAGCCTGGCGCTCTCAACATGGCTGCTGTCCTTTTGTTTCGTGCATCTGCTGTGCCTGGACTTCACCGTGGCCGAGAAGGAGGAGTGGTACACGGCCTTCGTCAACATCACCTACGCCGACCCGGCGGGCGGCGGCGCCGAGCTCCGCAGCGAGAAGAGCGAGTGCGGGCGCTACGGCGAGCAGTCGCCCAAGCAGGACGCCCGCGGGCAGGTGGCCCTGTCCGCCTCGCCCGCCGACCGCTACGCCTGCGACCCCGGCACCCGCTTCAACGCCCCGGCGCCGGGCAAGAGCTGGGTGGCCCTGATCCCGCGGGGAAACTGCACCTACAAGGACAAGATCCGCCACGCCGCCGCCCAGAACGCCTCCGCCGTCGTCATCTATAACGTGGGCTCCAGCAACGCCAACGAGACCATCACCATGCCGCACGCAGGTGAGCCGGGCTGTGCCGAGGGCACGGAGCCCTTCTTCCAGCCCGCTGTGCCCTCCCGCGTCCCTGCGGTGCGAGCTGCTCTGGGAAGGTGTTCTCGCACCTCCTGACAGGGAGCGGGATGGGCTCTGGGCATCGCTGGGTGCCCATCGTGGGGTCATGTCATCGTGCTGCCATGGCAAAGGATGGATGTGCTGGTAATGTATCCGCCGGTGCATACAGGAGGGATGATGGAAAGTTTGGGACGTGCAAAGTTTGGGTGTAGCAGAGGAATGGGCGCTGATCCCACCGTGGGGCGCCGGTGTGTCCTGAGAGTCCTGTGGCAGGATCCAGTGTGGTTGAGATTTCGGGAGAGGAGAAGTTGCAGTGATGTGGTGCAGGCTCATCAAGAGGTGCAGTGAAGTGGAGAACACGGTGTCCACAGCCGTGGCTGCAATGATGTGAAAGCTGTGAGATCGAGTAGAAATGCCAAGTACCTGATTTGGTGAGAACGTGAGATGTGTTGTCCAGGACTGAGATGGGGAGAGTGTGTCCTCTCTCAGGTGAATGTTCTGGTGGAGTTTGTGCTTGCAAAGTCAGCACATGGGTGCCAAAGTCCCAACATGTGCTTGTCAACTAAACCCAGCCAAAATCCAGGCATCCCAAATAACCTAAAGCCCTTTTGTGGGCTTATGCCCACAAAAACACCCCCACTGTTTCCATACCAGTGCTTGATCTGAAATAACGTCCTAGAAACTGTTCACCAGATTTCTATTTAGGGACAGTGTTTTCTGCCAGGGATCAGTTGTCTCTTACACCAGCTGCCTATGCCATGGAGATAAGATGCCGCCTATTGCGAAATCTCAGTGTGCTTTCCATCCAGTAACTAATCGTGCCAGCTGTTTCATGCCAGCTGAGTCTTAGTAGAGTTGGAGTAAATAGAAATACAGAAATGCTGCAAAACAGGATGTTATTCTAATGACATGTTACATTTCCACAGTAAACTAGCTAGCTTGGATGTGCTGAAAAGCAATTTGTTGCCTAACCCTAGTGCTAGAACACTGCTGATGCAAAAGCAGAGATTTTGGAGCCTCTTGTGTCCTGCCTGTTTTGGAGATTAACCACTTTTATTGGGCAAATCAGTGTTTCTTTGGTAGGGTTGGTGGAAGATGGGCTTTTTTTTGGTGTTTTCCTTTGGTTCTGTGAGACAGGCAACTCATAACCTCTTGAGCTTCCTAAAACTATGTTTTATAACCTGTCCACGGTTTAGCAGCTGTTCAGATTGTACTTCTTGCTACTTTAAGTGTCACAGATTATATACTAAGAAGTATAAAGTAGTAGGAGCTTGGCATACTTATGCACCCTCACAGTAAAGCTCAAGCTGTTTTAACACTTAGGATGCAGCATACTTTATTATTCTCTAGTAAGTTTCTCCAAAACTGCCAACATGCTGGATTAATTAATGGTTTGCCTGTTTTTAAAGTATGCACTAAGCTCTTTTCCCACACAAATGGTGTTTTATTAAGAAATGGTGGGAGTAAAAAACGTGTGTAACCTTTCAGAATGTTAGAGCTTTGGTTTGTTTTAAAGTCTGAGATGAAGTAGGAAAGGAAACTTTCTTGCTGCAAGTGGCCTCAGATTTAAAAAATATGAACATAGTATCAATTGTCCTGGGAGCAGCTTCTTCTGTGTCCTATGATTCCACAGGATTTGTCCTGAGAATCCTTTTCGAGTACTGAATTGATGCTCAGCAGTGGCTTTGAAGGTTTCATTGATCCTCCAAGATTATTGGCTTCAGCACCAGTGGCTGAAGTAAAAATAAACGTTCAGAAATCAACCTAGACTTGTGGGATATGATCAGTACTTTGCTCATAGATTTGATGAATTTGTCTTCCTTCTAAGGATTTTTGTTCAGCGAGGTTGAATCATGGTTGTTGGGCTTACCTTAGAGAAAGCCTATCCTCTGCACGTGGTCAGAACTAAAAGGAGTTTTAGGCCACAGGTCTGATGGAACAGAAGAAAAAACAATTATTCTTAGGTATTTAGCAATCTAGCAGGAATTCAGGACTTTCCCTCTGGTACCGCTGTTACTCTGGGACAGAGTGAATGGCCAGGCTGTGTAAAATTGTGGCTACTGCGAGTTTCTAACGTGGAGCCTTTGACATTTATTTGTTTGTTCCCAGTCTAGATGATAGCACAAGATTCAAGGGAAAAATGAATCAGTTTCTTGGTTTCTGAGTTCAGCAGCATCTGCAATGCTCTGCCCACGCGAAATCCTGGAGTGAGGAGAAGAAAATTCCATCCTGGAAAATACTTGGAGGCTGAGAGGGAAGGGTGAAATATGACCTAAAAAGCAATTTTAAAGTCCAAAGAAATACGATGTTACTTCCTTATTATTTTCCATTTCTCTCTCACAGATTTTTTTTTTTTGAGGTTTCACAGAAGCTTACGATCTCTTCCTATACAGAAAAGTGCATCCTGTTGCATAACAAAGTGGCTTCTGCCCTATGTTCTGGAGCTATGACATCTGCATTCACAGAGAAAGGGGAGCTCTGGGATTCTCCTGCTGGGATGTCCTTAGCTTGGATATCATCTGCTACAAATGGCATCCTTATTTTTATTGGCTTTATATGGCATAGGAGCTGTGAATGTGACTTTGTTTGCATTTTCACTGAGTAGCTCCAACCAGAGAAAGAAAAAAAAAGCATCTAGAATTTCTGAATGTCTATTTCAGGTGCTTTGCATTTCTTCTAGATCAACTTTCCTAGCAGAAAAGTACTCTGATAATATATAGGATGTTCTTTTTTTCTCCAGAAGAAATCCACAGTGTTGGCTGGAGTTTCTCACTGAAGTTTTTTCTTACTCACTGAAGTTTTTTCTTACTCACACCAAATTAGCTGTTATCTAGGTTTGCATGAGGAGGGTATGGCCATTCCACTGCAGATTCACATGTGTCCCTCCACACGTGCTGCTCAACCTGGGAGCATTCAGCTCAATAGCAGTCTCTTCCTTTGTGCTCAGATTTTTGTTCCTTAATCAATGACTAGTCGTACCTTTTGCATATTTTAAGATGTGTTGATAATAGGCTGGGCTTTGGCCAGAGTGGTGAAGTATTGATTCACTGAAGATTCCATTGATCCTCCAAGGTTATTGACTTCAAAAGCAGTTGGATTTCTGCTTTGATTATCATACAGTGGCATTCATACAAGTGCTGTCTCCAGATCTCTGCAGTAGGAAGTGACACAGCGAGGAGAAAATCTTCCTCGGGAACAAAACTGCATCCACATCCACACTAACTGCTGACTGGTAGTCTGGAGCAACTCCTTTTGTTATTTAGTCCTTAGGAGAATGGCTTGCTTTTGAGAAAGCAGAGGTTGGTCCTAGTCCCATCGATATTTTGTCTTTAGAATGGCATATCTTAGATTATACCATTTAGTTATTGGAATATTGTGGCAGTTTATGGCTTAGTGTAGCTCACTAATTGATGCAGATATATTTCTGTGCTGCCTCCCTTCACATCACAGAGGATGGGAACATTTTCAGCAGAAAGGGAGAGAAAACTAACTAGTTCTGTGTTGGCACTCTTAGGAGTCTTTTCCTGGTGAGAGAAGAGGACACTTTGTACTTTTCTCATGTAAGCAAGGGCCTAAAAGAGCCCGTTATTGTGCAGCATTTGTCTGAAGGAGCTCATGGTGCTTTGTTATGTGTTTCACTGAGTTTCCAGTGATGCCTGCCTCTGCACACCACCAGCCACGCTGATGAAGGGTTAAGTCTTTATGAAGGGATAGCCCAACACCTTCTCCACTTGCTGATAATTCCTGCATAGCTAACCTACACAGAAACAGCAATCACTTCAAGACAAGCCCCATTTCTGCCCTTTCAGCTGCATTTGAGTAGCAGTCACTTGATGACTCCTTTGGTGCAGGAGGGAGTGAACAATGCAATCATTGACTCATAGAAATCAGATATGGAAAAGACTGAGTAGTCCATGAAATCTGCCACCTTACCAATGCAGGGCTGCTTCCCACAGTGTTCCATCCACTGCCATCACAGTGCTTTCTTGCAAAGGGGAGGATTTTGTCCTGCTTCAGAAACAAACGCTGTCTGTGTAAGGAGAGCAGTTCTGAGGCATGAGACACAAAATGTACAAAGATGTTAATTAGGAATGCCATACCTTGCAGTGATATTAAATTCACATCACTTCCACAGAGGCACAGCAACTAAAGGAGAGGGCTAAAAGCCAGCTGTATCCATTGTATGTCACAGGGGAGTTATATGGCAGTTGTGAGAAGAAAGAAGTGGCAAAATGTTTCACAGCTGGTTGTGTGCAGACAGGTTTTGCTGTGCTGTGTCTTTATCCTGCAGTGGGATGTGATCCCAGGCTTTGTTCATCACCAGTGCTCTCCTCATTTCACTCCTCAGCATTTTGGTTTCTCTGGAACAGAAATCTGGGTGGTTCAGCCTCAGGTCAGGCACTGCACAGCTTGACTGGGTCCTGGATGTGGATTAGCAGGGGTCAAGGATCCCTCAGAGTATCCTACCTTTCATTTGGATCTACTATCTCGTAATTCTCTTGAGAACTACAATTTCTCTTACCTGGAGAAGAAAACCCAAACCTCTTAGGTGCAACCTTAACTTTAAAAATACACTGTATTAGATCTACCAGCTGTACATCTGCTCTCTGATGCACTGGCCACATTAGTAGAGGTAATTCTTCAGCCAGATGAACATCACTGAGTTGGGTTCTTACCAACTGCTGGGAACAATGTTTTTTAGTTCAAAAATGGATGGGGAAAGCACCTCTTCATTCACCAGTTCTAATGGACAGGTTGTGAATATTGTTTGCTTGTGAAACCTCAATACTATGCAGCTGTGTTTTACAGGAGAGGCCTATCAAGGGCGTTCTTTACTTTCTGTCTCCTCTTCAATAAATTATTTGAAATAAACCTTAGAAAACTGAACTGAGGAGAAATGAAGGAGACAATGAAAAAATTAAACTGTTTTACTGCTGTTCCACACTGAAA